ATGTGAGATAGTTGTGTAGCAGCCACTAGAACACAGATGAGCGACTTGACAGTGCCGCTGTTGGAATCAGCGAATAGAGATCAGTAACTGCAGAGGGACATGATTGTCTCACTTTCCTCTTGTTTCACTGGTCATCTGACCTTGTCCCCCAATCAGGAACTTTCTCGGATTTCCCCGGGAATTAACAACATTACACTTCTAGAGGACCCATTTAAAGGCAGCTGCAGGCCAACTAGTTTAATCCTCCATCCATCCAATTATGGAAATAAAATACAAATTTAAAATGACCACGTTCAACCTACTACGAGCAGTATTGGCTATAAATGTTGTCTAGTTTCTTTGTGCCAAGTATATTGGCTAAGAAGTGGTAACTGCACCAAAACGAGTGGCTTGGCCCACTACTCTGATACCTGGTGAGGATTGTTGGGGGAGGGGGAGCTGATGTACAAGAGAGCACTCCCATGTTAGTGAACTCTAGTGCTGACAGAAGATTGTTGGGGAAGGGGGAGCTGATGTACAAGAGAGCACTCCCATGTTAGTGAACTCTAGTGCTGACAGAAGATTGTTGGGGAAGGGAGCTGATGTACAAGAGAGCACTCCCATGTTAGTGAACTCTAGTGCTGACAGAAGATTGTTGGGGAAGGGGAGCTGATGTACAAGAGAGCACTCCCATGTTAGTGAACTCTAGTGCTGACAGAAGATTGTTGGGGAAGGGAGCTGATGTACATGAGAGCACTCCCATGTTAGTGAACTCTAGTGCTGACAGAAGATTGTTGGGGAGGGGGGCTGATGTACAAGAGAGCACTCCCATGTTAGTGAACTCTAGTGCTGACAGAAGATTGTTGGGGAAGGGAGCTGATGTACAAGAGAGCACTCCCATGTTAGTGAACTCTAGTGCTGACAGAAGATTGTTGAGGAGGGGGGGCTGATGTACAAGAGAGCACTCCCATGTTAGTGAACTCTAGTGCTGACAGAAGATTGTTGGGGAAGGGAGCTGATGTACAAGAGAGCACTCCCATGTTAGTGAACTCTAGTGCTGACAGAAGATTGTTGGGGAAGGGGGCTGATGTACAAGAGAGCACTCCCATGTTAGTGAACTCTAGTGCTGACAGAAGATTGTTGAGGGGGTGGCAGGGGCGGTGCTGGTGGGTACAAGTATCAGAACTCCTGTGCTACTGAACTCTAGTGCTCAGAGAAGATTGTTCAAGGAAAGGCAGCTTATCTGCCAACCAAGAAGGCTTCAATAAATGCAGAGCCAATATGCCCTGTTATACTGGGCTCACCCAAAGAATCATCACATCCTGCACATGACTGCCTAATGTTACATCTACATATTAAGCCATCCATTGATTATGAGCTGCGCACATCTGGGATCTGCAGAAAACATTCCACAGAACTAAGTCTTTTATGACCTTCACAAAATCTGCATCCTGCTTCCTTGTTAGACCTCATTGGTACCTTTCATGTCAATGCCTGAGGCATTTAGCATGGCAGTGTAGAAAACATGTCAGTCATGTCTTCTTCTTTTGGTCATGATACTTGGTCACAAGTATTGTCTGTGGTAGTGAGTATTTGAACTTTTTGTGTCCTAAAGTAGGATATTGGCACAGTGGATCTCTGAATTGAAGCTGTCATCTTGTAGGAAAGTCAGTCTTCATGTAGTAAAGTGAAGGACCTTTTTTCAAGCCTTCAAGGCAGATAGGGCGAATAGCTAGGCCTATATTTTGTAGACCAGTCGGCATTCAGTGGGTGATGTAGCCAACATCACGCTGGACACCTTCACTTTCCTGGACCATATCTGGTACCCGTTTATGACTGGGTCAACCTCAGAGCAAGGTTATTTTGAAAAAAACAAAAGAGCCTGGCTGTGTTTGGATTTGAACCAATGACCTTCGGAATCCCCGGGTAAGCATCAGTCGACAGATATTGTACAGAAACTTGTGATTTTGTAGGTAACTCGGCCAGTGGACTTCACTCATTTTTCAAATTAATTTTTGATGTATATCACCCTTGCTTTGGGGGGTGAATTGATGAGTGCCAGATGTTTTCTGGGTACTTCATCTTTGGGGGCACCACCTCTGAGATCCCATGCAGGTTAAGTTGAGTCTGATATTATCCATTATCTATGGGATGCAGTATGGTGGCTCACATTTTTTTTTCTGCACCACATGCATTCATTTATTGGGTCAGTCTGTCCGAAGACTGGTTACAAGTTACCTGATCATTTCCTTCTATTGTCTCCCTGTTCTCGGTAACTGTCTTCAAACTGGCACCATAAATAGTTTTGAATTGTAGATAATTTTGGAACAGGTTAACAGAGGAACATGTGTAAAACACATTGGTATATAGTGTTTATTTTAATAGTTTTGGTGCTGAAGTCGGATATTAGGCCAGAAGGTGCAAAGGAGCATGCCAGGTGATCAGTTACGGCAAACTTAACTAGAGAAATGAAAATTGTCACTTTAAATGATTATTTATTTGTAATCAATTGAAATAATTGTACATATGTAAACGGCAGAAATAATTGTACATATGTAAACAACAGAAATAATTGTACATATGTAAACAGCAAAAATGTTTGTACATATGTAAGCATCTGAAGTGATTGTACATTTATCTACATTCACTAACAGCTACAATTCTTGTGTATTTGCTAACAGCTGATATGTTTTTATGTTCATTACAGCCAACAAAGCTCACAGGGAGGAACTGGAAGGAATCCTGTTAATCTTTGAGGTATGTCCACGGTTGATCTTCTGATGCATCTGTAGACTGTTGAATGTCCACGGTTGATCTGCTGATGCATCTGTAGACTGTTGAATGTCCACGGTTGATCTGCTGATGCATCTGTAGACTGTTGAATGTCCGTGCTGCCATTGTTGACTTGTACAGTTTGTATATGTTCATAACATTTCTTGTGGTGTCCTGTGATGGTGGTATTTTGTGTATGGCTTGCCAACAGAAGGATCCTGGTATGTTTCTCTGATTTGTGACAATTTGCATGTGATGTCATCTCATCATCTTATCCCATAATCCCAGACAAGGGTTATAAGGGGGACATGATGAGAGAATCAGCACTTAACAGTCCTTAGCAAACATGATCCTAATGATTTCGTGACCTATATTTTTTAGAGTTCCTGGAGCGAAAGGGTTAAAATGGGCTTGCTTGCATCTTCTACCAACTGTCTGAATAATTAAAAACAGTATAATTTTAATATTGAGACCCAGTCTAATACCCCTGATTGAATCAGGTAGCTGCTTTGTTCTATGAACAAATGAATGTTCGTTATATACCTATATTTTTTTTTTTCGCCAGAAAATTCTGTTTCTTCTGCCAGAAATTGTCCACAAGAGATGGATGTTCCACAGCATAGGTAAGCATCCAGAATTCACAAACCTGTTTTCTTTGTCTTTATTTTCTTATTTTTATTAGTTATTGTTTATGTTGTTTGTGAAAATTACTTTGGTTATAAAAAACAAAACAAAAAAACAAAAAAAGTTTGTCCCATATCCTTTTCAGTTGCAGAATCAACCCCAGTATTTCTTGTCTGGTTTTACTAGACAATTTTATGTTCAGTAGTGTGCCATTACTTTTTAAATGGTTGGTTTTCATACCATTGTTGAAATCAGTGCAAAGTGGTCTGCTGGCCAGATCACCTGTAGCTGGAATTGATGCAGGTATTTTGGAACTACAAAACACGCTTGTAACACCTCTGCCACAAACACAGACTACTTGAATTATAGATGGACGCAGCAAAATGGTTTGAGAATTAATTGCGATTTGTTATGGTTGTGCGCACTTGATAGGAAAATAACAAGACGAAGACATAAAGATTATATGTAAAGTGAAGGACCCTGTCACTAAGAATAATGAAAGCAGAGCTAGAGATCTTCAGTGTAAGCAATCTGTAGATGGAATATATGAGGCCATAAATGTCAACATCTATGTCGCACATGCCAAAACTCACATGTGATGTCTCTTCAAAACCTGACACTGAAAGGCAGAACAAATCTAGAGGAGAAGAAAAAGACTCATTGGGGATATGGATTCTGTCCGATATTTGTAATGACATTATAGAAACATAATATAGTATAGTTCTGTCCAGGAATCCTGGACTTTTCATACTTTTTTTTTATAGCCTGGTAGCCAGTTGAGAACTGGGGCAACTATTTAATAGGTTTTTAGTCTTTGGTCGCTTCTTTTGCATTTCATCTGACCCTTATGCATCGCCAACTAGTATATTTCATTATGGACGTGTTGATGATTGGTTGGGTTATGCAGCTAAAGTTTTATATGGGTGAGTTAGCCAACCCTTTGTGGTTACCACTTAGCACCTGCTTGATAGTTTGCAGTATTACTATTCTTTCATTCTTGTCCCCATTAAGCTAGATGACAAGCCCCTTTGGTAGTGAGTGAACAGTGGAGGCACAATGGGTCATCAGTCTGAGCAGTGCTGCAGCAGGCACTGACCAGAGAAAATAGATATACAATCAAATTCCTGCAGGTACCATCAGAACTGAACTCTGTGCTGGCTGCTGAAGATGGGGATGGGCTGTTTATGGGAATACCCCGATTGCTGTGCTGTTGGTTCTTAACTCAACACCAGCTGTGGGCTATGGTGATGCACTGGCATCTGTAACATTAGAGGTGGAAAAATATTTTTTTTTTCTCTCCAAATATGTCCCTTCCAGATTTGCATTTGCTAATCACGGAACCCCGTTCAGTCATATAGCCATACAGCACGGTTAAATTGGGGTACCACACAATGGTTAGAAAGTGACCTGTAGTCCGGTGTGGGTGGGTAACGATATAGCTTATGTGCAAAATGGGAAAATATGCGGGCCTGTTTCTGTTGGTAAATTAACATTGAAATACTAGATCTGCAGTTACAGATGTCTGCTGCCAGCCAGACTGAAGAAAGTTTAGTCAATATTTGGGCATAAAGTAGGGAGTCTGTCAGTTTGTGATAAGTAGTTTAAATTTGTTTGTTTTTCAACAGGGAGAGTCATCAAAAAGTTACTTCACCCAGGGAACAGTTTACAGGTATGTTAGTTTTGGGTAGAGTTATGAACCTTTGTGTTTAGACTAGAGTTATGTACCTTAGAGTTTTGACTAGAGTTATGTACCTTAGAGTTTTTGACTAGAGTTATGTACCTTAGAGTTTTGACTAGAGTTATGTACCTTAGAGTTTTGACTAGAGTTAATTACCTTCTTGTTTTGACTAATCAACTTGAAGGTACTTATTTAGTGTTTTAATACAGTAACATTTTTGCAGGGGCTTCTGTTTTTATTACAGTAACACTCTTGCAGGAACTTTTTGTTTTAGCATCGTTACAGACATGCAGATACACATTTACCCATGTTTTAGCATAGTTACAGACATGCAGATACACATTTACCCATGTTTTAGTATAGTTACAGACATGCAGATACACATTTACCCATGTTTTAGTATAGTTACAGACATGCAGATACACATTTACCCATGTTTTAGTATAGTTACAGACATGCAGATACACATTTACCCATGTTTTAGTATAGTTACAGACATGCAGATACATATTTACCCATATTTTAGCATAGTTACAGACATGCAGATACACATTTACCCATGTTTTAGTATAGTTACAGACATGCAGATACACATTTACCCATGTTTTAGTATAGGGACAGACATGCAGATACACATTTACCCACGTTTTAGTATAGGGACAGACATGCAGATACACATTTACCCACGTTTTAGTATAGGGACAGACATGCAGATACATATTTACCCATGTTTTAGTATAGGGACAGACATGCAGATACACATTTACCCATGTTTTAGTATAGGGACAGACATGCAGATACACATTTACCCATGTTTTAGTATAGTTACAGACATGCAGATACACATTTACCCATGTTTTAGTATAGTTACAGACATGCAGATACACATTTACCCATGTTTTAGTATAGGGACAGACATGCAGATACATATTTACCCATGTTTTAGTATAGTTACAGACATGCAGATACACATTTACCCATGTTTTAGTATAGTTACAGACATGCAGATACACATTTACCCATGCTTTAGCATAGTTACAGACATGCAGATACAAATTTACCCATGTTTTAGTATAGTTACAGACATGCAGATACACATTTACCCATGTTTTAGTATAGTTACAGACATGCAGATACACATTTACCCATGTTTTAGTATAGTTACAGACATGCAGGTAGACATTTACCCAAGTTAGAGTACAGTTACAAGTGGTCCAGATCATATTCTTGTGTTTTGCATTGTATATTGTCCATTAAAGATTTTGTTTTATGTCATCACATTGGAAGTCACTGCACATAAGTCACTGTTTCATCGCTTTTTTTTCAGCTCCGTTGCCAGGGTGTCAGGTTGTTTCTGGTTTGGTACCAGTGTTTGCAAGAAAATGCCAATGAGGAATGTCACCAGATCTTCTACAACCTGGTCCCAGGACTTGGGCAAGATGGGGGTCAAGATTTGATGTCTTTGATGACAGACCACACATCACAAGCAGACAGTACGTTCACATCCATACTTGACCATTTTTAGTCATATTTAAAAAAAAAAGTGAAATGGGTGTCTTTATGGCTAATTGTTGAGGTAATTTGGCTGAACCTGTTCTGCTGTATGGCAGCAAATCTTGGAATGTCAGTGAACAAATTAGGAAGAATTTGGAAGCAACAGAGATGTGGTTTCTGAGACGAATGTTACAAATACCTTGAATGGCCAGAGTAACTAACTACGATTGCTTGAAAGAAACTAATGAAATTAGATCTCTATATACAACAATAAGAAAGAGACAAACACTGTTCTTTGGCCACATAATGAGAAGAGAGACATCGGAGAACATCGAGACAACTGCAAAGATCAATAGAAAAAGGGAGACCAAGAGAGATGATGCTGGATGGGCTGAAACGATGGCATGGAAGGATATCATCAAAAGAGCTGTTCCAGGCAACCAGGGCACATGATGATGATGATCAATTTGGCTGGTGCTCTGAAGGTTGTGCGTTTGGAGATCTTTAGGGATTGTTGCTGGAGTTATGAAGTACATGCATTGTATGACACCTGAACACATAGGAGATTGACTCATAAACATAATTCTATTCTGGAATGTTTAATATTTTGGCCATGTTAACACTTTCAGTCCTAGGAGATCATAGCGAATGCCTGGTTGCGATAGTAAATGACAGCAACAGTATAAGTATACTGATTGCTCAGGGACTAAATGTACAGCAAAATGTTGGAGACTGATGTGTTGCCCTGACTACACTTAATTTACACACACATACACAGGATGTTTTAATGTTGACTGTAATATCCACGCACACTTGGTGCGTTGTTGGGACTTTCTTCTTTCCTTGGGTTCACCAGCTGTAACACTCTGGTGGAAAGTTCTGGTTGTTTGTCCACTTTTGGACTGCTCTCCTGTTCCAGAACCTGAGTTTTGCATGCGCATCCATTTTACAGATGTGACCTATTTGTATGCAGACTGTTGGTTCCTTGCCTCTTAGTCAGATGCACTCTGACTTTGAAGGAAGTGCCCAATTAGTTGACTCTTAAACATGCTTTTGGGTAGGCAGTGGGTCTGTTATTGTTTTCCTTACAATAGGGCCCAGGATCTGCACGGGGATTGTAACTTTTAAAGAGTTAAGCATCATGAAACAAAAATTTATTGGAACACGCAGATACTGGAAAAGAAGACAGGCCAGCAGGAAGATAGACACAGGGAACTGGCAGGAGCATGAAAATATACAGTTCAAGAGAATTGGCAAGGGATTGAGATTCTTATTAGTGAGTTGTAATAGGAGACTGGCTTGCTAAATGATGATGATGGTGGTTTTTTTCTTTGGATTCTTCAGAGGAATGCTTGCTGGGGTCCCGTGGGGGTAGGGGATCAAATAGACCCATAACCTCAACCCCCTCCACCCCCCACCTCCAAGAAAAATGTGGTAAAAGTGACTAATTAGGGCTTAGCTGCAATTGGATGTGTTAAATGGATAGGAACAGATGTGACAGCCTAGCTTCACAAGAATGTGTCAACCACACTTTTACAGGTGCAGATGTGACATTCTAGCTTCACAAGAATGTGTCATCCACACTTTTACATGTGCAGATGTGACATCCTATATGAGATATGACAAGAATGTGTCATCCACACTTTTACAGGTGCAGATGTGACAGCCTATATGAAATATGACAAGAATTTGTCATCCACACTTTTACAGGTGCAGATGTGACAGCCTATATGAGATATGACAAGAATGTGTCATCCACACTTTTACGGGTGCAGATGTGACAGCCTATATGAGATATGACAAGAATGTGTCATCCACACTTTTACAGGTGCAGATGTGACAACCTATATGAGATATGACAGCCTATATGAGATATGACAGCCTATACGAGATATGACAAGAATTTGTCATCCACACTTTTACGGGGCAAATACAGAAGAAGCTGTTTCAGAATCTATCTGATATCTAACTTCCTCTCCAGTAAAGATGATTTTCTTACACATCTTCATTTGACTGATGTTTTAGATGTTGGAAGCATGATTGCTGCTGGAGAAATCACCTGTATACTACCTGGTCAGTCAGAGAAGTTACCCGACAACCTGACCAAGTATTTTCTGGAAAGTTTGCTCAATTACATGGTTTCAGAGGTAACTGTTGAGTGTTATTGTACACTATATGAAGCTTTAAAAACCCTTTCGCCAAGAGACGCTGCTAATCCAGTGAAACCGTGTGTTACAAATCTCACAGTGAACCAGCATTGCTGCATTAGCTGGTCCTTGACGAGCCTGGTTCTGCTAGTACCTGTGCAGTGTTTAAGAGGAGCAGATGTGATTACATAGCATAGAATTATGGTAAACAAAAACGGCCTTAAAAAATGTCATCATGACATTCACATAATTATGTGTCACAAAATGAGTCACCATATAATTCTTTTCAGGCCAGAGGGAATGTATTATATTTAATTCCTTGCTCCATTCATATTTATTAACTCCCTTTCATATATTTATAAAGAAATTAAAAATATATTTACATTAATAAAAAAAAAAAAAAACCACTTTATTACTGACCTGTGTTAAATGGTTATGATTTTTAGGATTTTTCGGGAATTTCTGGGCTCATTTTCAGTTTTATGCTGACTGTCAGTATTTTCATTCATCTTCAGTATCTACTGTAAAAGTCAGGATTTCCTCTAGGCGTTGGGCTGGAGTTTGTGCTGACACACCCATGAAGGAAACATTACCAGCCAGGCCCTGACCTCAGTCAGCTCATATATGCTTGCTGAATTATGACTTAGTTACATTAACTTGGAGAGGGAATGGAGAGCTCTACAGCATTATTTGAAGGGATACTTCGTTGGAAGGAAAGTCTCTACACCGACCCATCTCCAATAGACATAAGTCCTTTTAAGTGCTGAAACAGCCTCAACTCCAGTGAATTAGACTTTAAAGTTAAACCTTAGTTTTACAATTCAAACTGCAGACCTGATAAGGAGAACTCATTGAGAACATGAGAAAGAGACATCTTATCATAAATTCCTCTTATCCAGATAAGAATTTGAGCAACACAAATTGCAAGGGATAAACAAATTGTTCTTCTCAACAGAAATTCGCCACATCTGAGATTGCCTTAAGTGGTCTGCACTGTATTTGCCAACAGCTTCCTCCTCCCATTCTTCTTCCTCCCGCAAAGAGTAATTGGCATGTAGTGTTGTGGTTTATAGCCATGCTGCAATACCTGTGCCTTTCAGCCAGCCACCTCCACTTCTTCCTCCCTCAAAGAGTAATTGGCATGTAGTGTTGTGGTTTATAGCCATGCTGCAATACCTGTGCCTTTCAGCCAGCCACCTCCACTTCTTCTTCCTCCCTTAAAGAATAATTGGCATGTAGTGTTGTGGTTTATAGCTATGCTACAATACCTGTGCCTTTCAGCCAGCCACCTCCACTTCTTCTTCCTCCCTCAAAGAGTAATTGGCATGTAGTGTTGTAGTTTATAGCCATGCTGCAATACCTGTGACTTTCAGCCAGCCACCTCCACTTCTTCTTCCTCCCTCAAAGAGTAATTGGCATGTAGTGTTGTAGTTTATAGCCATGCTGCAATACCTGTGCCTTTCAGCCAGCCACCTCCACTTCTTCCTCCCTCAAAGAGTAATTGGCATGTAGTGTTGTAGTTTATAGCTATGCTACAATACCTGTGCCTTTCAGCCAGCCACCTCCACTTCTTCTTCCTCCCTTAAAGAATAATTGGCATGTAGTGTTGTGGTTTATAGCTATGCTACAATACCTGTGCCTTTCAGCCAGCCACCTCCACTTCTTCTTCCTCCCTCAAAGAGTAATTGGCATGTAGTGTTGTAGTTTATAGCCATGCTGCAATACCTGTGACTTTCAGCCAGCCACCTCCAGTTTCAACACACCCCTAATTAGTGTCCTTTTGTGATGTGCTTCTTGAAGGGCATGGGTCTATTCTCTCCCCCTCCCCCAGTTGGGGCCCTAGAACCTACTCTGTGTTCCCCTAATGCCTATATTCTGATATTTTCTGCTTCTTTCTCCATTTATTTTCCACATTTTGCTTTGGTCTTTGGTCTTCAAGCTCTTATTGTGTAAAGTTATTAGTTTATGTAATTTTGTTTTCCATCTTTAATTTTCAAATCTACTATCCTTTGTTGATTTCCTTCTATGACTGTGGTTGTTAACTGACTGTTACATATTTCAGGTGATCAAAGTTGAATGGATGAACAAAGGAATGAGAGAACAAAGTTTTGAGTTCATATTTAATAAATTCAAGGCCAAGTATTTATGCTGGCTTCTGCCTGACTTTGTGTACAGAGACATCTATGATCCAGTACAGGGTATGTACGCTCATGTTTATACTGTCAGTTAATCTTTATCACATCCATGATCTGGTACAGGGTAAGTACACTCATGTTTATACTGTCAGTTAATCTTTATCACATCCATGATCTGGTGCAGGGTATGTACGCTCATGTTTATACTGTCAGTTAATCTTTATCACATCCATGATCTGGTACAGGGTATGTACGCTCATGTTTATACTGTCAGTTAATCTTTATCACATCCATGATCTGGTGCAGGGTATGTACACTCATGTTTATACTGTCAGTTAATCTTTATCACATCCACGATCTGGTGCAGGGTAAGTACACTCATGTTTATACTGTCAGTTAATCTTTATCACATCCATGATCTGGTGCAGGGTATGTACGCTCATGTTTATACTGTCAGTTAATCTTTATCACATCCATGATCTGGTGCAGGGTATGTACGCTCATGTTTATACTGTCAGTTAATCTTTATCACATCCACGATCTGGTGCAGGGTAAGTACACTCATGTTTATACTGTCAGTTAATCTTTATCACATCCATGATCTGGTGCAGGGTATGTACGCTAATGTTTATACTGTCAGTTAATCTTTATCACATCCATGATCTGGTACAGGGTATGTACACTCATGTTTATACTGTCAGTTAATCTTTATCACATCCATGATCTGGTGCAGGGTATGTACGCTCATGTTTATACTGTCAGTTAATCTTTATCACATCCATGATCTGGTGCAGGGTATGTACGCTCATGTTTATACTGTCAGTTAATCTTTATCACATCCATGATCTGGTACAGGGTATGTACACTCATGTTTATACTGTCAGTTAATCTTTATCACATCCATGATCTGGTACAGGGTATGTACACTCATGTTTATACTGTCAGTTAATCTTTATCACATCCATGATCTGGTGCAGGGTATGTACACTCATGTTTATACTGTCAGTTAATCTTTATCACATCCACAATCTGGTGCAGGGTATGTAAACTCATGTTTATACTGTCAGTTAATCTTTATCACATCCATGATCTGGTACAGGGTATGTACACTCATGTTTATACTGTCAGTTCAGCTTTATCACATCCATGATCTGGTGCAGGGTATGTACTCTCATGTTTATACTGTCAGTTAATCTTTATCACATCCACGATCTGGTGCAGGGTAAGTACACTCATGTTTATACTGTCAGTTAATCTTTATCACATCCATGATCTGGTGCAGGGTATGTACGCTCATGTTTATACTGTCAGTTAACCTTTATCACATCCACGATCTGGTGCAGGGTATGTACACTCATGTTTATACTGTCAGTTCAGCTTTATCACATCCATGATCTGGTGCAGGGTATGTACACTCATGTTTATACTGTCAGTTAAGCTTTATCAGCACAATACATGGCAAGGAATCCCCCCCCCCCCCACCTAATAGATTCCGTAACAAGTGAAACAGACAGTATGGAGATGCATTTTGGTTAGAATGTGTTCTTAATCTATAAATGCCGGTGCTATCATATTAATTAGATTTGTAACTGAAGATTTACAGACTGCTGATGAAAACAACAAATATCCTTGACTTTTTGTCAGAGACTGCTGCTGTAAACCGTCCTGAGCATTTGTATGCTTTCTTTCTTAACTATATATTTTTACTTTCAGTAGTTTGCCATTTCAACTGAACGGTCAGCTCTCCATCCCATTGTCAACATCAGAAAATTTTTGTGTGTGTCTTTTTGTTGTCTTGTTGATTAAATCTGAGTATCATGAAATGATGTTTGCACCCTACATTGTTATAAGGTGCCCAGTCATTGATAGAGTAAATAAAGGCAAGACCGCCGGGTGATGGCAACAATGGTTGAAAATCCCCTGCTGTAAGTGTGTAGGACTTTTCCTTATGTGACGTAAACAGAGGGTGACTGCAGTCGAGCTGATTGCAACAAATACTAAATATAACACAAAATGTGATTAGAAATCTCAACTGAGGGAGTGGAAAAGACACACAACCGAACGTTTTCGATTAAAGGCTTTTCCAGCAGAGTACTTTGTGATGTTATTTAGTGCTCCATTGAAAGAGACTTTGGTCGAAGCATTTGGTTGTATTTGTGTGCATCTTTTCCATTTCCTCCGTTGAGCTGTCCAGACACATTGTGTGTTATATTTGGCATTTTTCTTACAGGAGCAGGTCTTGCTTGTCACACTCGCCATCACTGCAGGCTGGGATTTCCATCCTTTGTGTAATACAATATAACAGTGTCATTTGGAAAGACACAGGGGTGCCAACAAAGTTCAGTACATGACTCATTACCTCACATGCCTTAATTTAGCCATGACTGATCTCACAGATGTATAAATTTTTTCATCCAAAATAATCATCTTACAAGAATATGGAGACCATTGCTACATCTACAAAGCCAAGAGGCACGATGGAATAAAATCTTTCCAAACATATGAAAGGTATAATAGCACGTGTATCGGAATAAAACAAAGTTAAAATGCAACCCTGATGCTTCTGTGGTTGTCAGGAAGTCACCTTAGTCATCCATATACAAATCCCTATTGCTTGGAGATGCAAAAGACTCAAAAAGATATGGTCATCATAAATAAAAAAGATGTAATCTAGTAGATACAGAATCCTTTTGGATTGTCTTTACGCTTTCATTCATGAAACAGATTGTTTTGGTGTTATTTCAGAACTGCCAGTGGCACGCACCAAAGATTGTCTGAAGAAGAATGATGAGCCCTTGTTTGTTTCTGAATGCCGTGACTCATTTATATTCTGGCTTGCCAGCTTCACAGTATCTAGTCATAGACCATCTCCAGAACTACATCAGTAAGAGTTGTTTCTGTATTTGTTTAACCTCTTAAGTGGGTAAATTAGGTGAGCGTGAGTCTTCCATTGTGGCTAATTTCCCCCTCAGACTGGGCTGGAGTCGCATGCTATTGTCTGTAAATTAAAGAAATTTCATTAAAAGATAAAATCTCATTTCTTTAAAAAAATATTCTTAGATTATTATGCTGCTTAAATTACTTTCTGAAATTGATTACTTCTCTTAAATTGTTTATTTTTCTTAAATTTATTATAGTTTTCTGAAGAAGAGAGTATCACTGGGTACCCTCTGTGAAAAATACTATTAGTGTTTCAACTCATACAGTGGTCCCAGAGGAATGAAAATGTCAATCATGATCTTATTTCATCTGTTGTCATATCTATCCAACTGCACATTTGTGATCGTTTGTTATGAGATGGTTATGTTATGAGAGATACTTTAAAAAAAAGTTCTAATACAATCTGTGTCAAGCCCATATCGGGTAGTGGGGAGCTTGAGCCCATATAATGGTAAACTGCTTGCATTAAGAAAACCAAGGACTTGGTAAAGTACCTGTTAGCCATTGAAGAGTTCTGCCAAGGGGAGAAAACTCTTGATGAACTCAAGCTAAGAAGAAAAAGACCAGGGCTACTCATTTAACTGTATGTTTAAAGGGTAAAACATCCTGGCTACATGAAACATTATGCACATCATCATCATCGTCATAGCTTGCTGACTCATTTCCATGACATGACAATTGTCTTCTCCCAGTGTCTTCCTTTCTCTCTCTTTTCATAAATCGTTACAGTTGTCACAGGATACAAATTCCATGTTTTATCTCTTCTCATGTTGTGGCTGAAATAACATCAACTTCATGATCATTCAGGTGACATAGAACTTTACTTTCATGATCACATGTTTTCTCCCCAGCAGGTTGTAGACAACAAGTTCCCAATTCATTGGCCGTGACCCCATATTGATTTTTGATGTTGTTTTCATTTACCCTTTTAAAAAAAAAGTTTTTTTTTTTTTTTTTAATGAATGAGGTTACGGGAAACTTAGCCTCTATAAAATAGGGTTGTAATTAAAAAAAGATGCCCTGGAGAAAAAAAAAAGAGGAAGAAACTTATATCATGAGAAAATTTGATTCTTGTTTTATCATTAAATGTGAAAATTGATTCATACTGTATCTGTTGTGTAAAAATTGATTCTTGCTGTATCATTGTGTCTCATTGTGGGTTCTGAGGCCACATGTTTTTGGAAGGAAAAAAAAGGAATAGACCCACTGCTTTCTTAACAAGCATATTGTCAAAGGTGGCTAATAAAAGACTTGCTGTTGGGCCGAAAGGTGTAGATTTAAATGTAAATGTAAATCACAACACAAAGTGCCAACTGCCTTTTCAAGGGCACATGAAGAAGAAAAAAAAGAAACTGTATCATTGTAAGAAAATAATAGTTGGCTTTTTCACCCTGAAACTGTAGGGGTCTGTCCTGCTCCCTTCTCACTGAACCGTCCTCTCACATGGGAGAATCAACTGATGATGGGAAAAATGGGGGAGATGATGAAGAAGGAACTTCACCACCGCCACGGAGTAAGGAGAGCACTTTGTCGTCAGAGTTCACACAGACTAGTCAGGACTCTATCTCAGGATTTTCTGGGGAACCGTACACTACAGCCGAGTACGAGATTGTCAGAGCTGTTCTCTACTCCAGCCGGGAGAATGTCAACATCGTTCATGAGTGTTTTAGGCAGGTAAGAGGTGGGGGGTTTGTAAGGACATTGTGTGCAAGTTTTAGGATACATTCAATGTTCCAGCAGAAATGTATACACTTTCTTCAACTCTTTCTGTCCCAAAGAACGCATCCTGCATTCATAGAAACCCAATGAACGCAAGATGTGCCGATTATACGTCTGTCTCGAATATCCCTTGGGCCTGTGATACTAAACCCCTGGGATTGAAAGAGTTGAGAAAATTTAGAAAAGTTTTAGCAGTAATTTAATGTGAATTATCACTTTCATGTAGCAAATTCCCAGTGATGGTTCCAGGGCTCAATTTTAGGGGGAAAATGAATGGATCCACTGACTGCTTTTTAAAAAAACATATATAAAAGATGATGACTTATTAGGGATGTTTCCTTTTAGAGTCAGAGGGCATCTGCCTGAGAGGCAAGGAACCAGCAGTTTGCATACAAATAAGCCAAATCTGTAAAGCGGATCTGCACAGAAGAAAAAAGAAGATGTAGCTAATCTTTTACATACCATGAATCGATTCTCTTCATCAGCACTTTCTCTGCCTGATGCATTTTTATGTCCTGGGTGCCTTCATGACCCCTGACTCTTTCTTCTTCCAGAGCCATGCCTTCCATCACTGTAACTTCTGAACCACTGTAAAATTTAATTTCATCAAAGTATTTTGGTTAGAAAGGAAAAAGGATGAGCAGATTGTCTTCTGTGTTCAGATACGGTCGAATATTAGTAGTTTACTTCTTGTAGTAGGTTGTTTTAAAAACTTCTCAAAAATTGAACCATTTTACTCCAAGATGCTGCTAATTTGACATCACAGTGCTTCACAAATCCGTTAGTAGACATTAAACTGGCATTGCTGCATTGGCCAGTTCCCGACGAGCCTGGTTAATGTCGTTGGTTCTGTCTGCATCTGCACAGTGTCTAGAAGTATCTAGTATGATTATATTCTTATAGCCTCAGAAAGAAAAAAAAAAGGGGGGGGGGGGGGAAGGGGGGGAAGAGAGAATAAACTTTGCCAGGAAGTGGGTTATAGAAATTGATTCCCTTAAAAAAAAATTTTTTTTTCCCTTTTTGTTTTCTGTTAGCAATACTTTTTTCATATTGACTTTGTTTTATTAATTAAAAAAAAAAAAGTGGTGTCAGTGCAAGAATAATGTTGAATAATGAAGAATATTGCATCTTGTGTGAGAAGTATTTAATTTTAATTGTTCCATCACCACAATGTTTCTTTTTCTTTATGCCTTTTTCGTCGTCTTCTTCTTCTTCTTCTCTTTGACCCTGTCTCTCTTCCTATCCTCTCTCATCGTTTCTCCTTCCCTCCTCTCTAAACTCCTAGGAGCCTTTCCCGATATTCCTTTGTCTTTGTTATTCTTCTCCCTTAGTCTTTCTTTCCTATATTCCTTATTATCCTCCTGCTTACTTGATCTCCCACCTTCTTAGTACCTCTTTCTCCCATCTCAAATTCTTACCTTCCCTCCATCTCTTTCTCTTTTGTCTCCCATCTCTTATCCTCCTGACACCCCACCCCCCCTCCCCCCAACTACCATGTTCTCTCTCATGCATCTTTACCAGTTTCATCTCTGTCTCACACACACATTAATTACTTTTACTCCATGACTTTCTTCACACACTATCCATTGTTTTCCTAATCTCTATGACTTTTTTCTAAGGCTCTACTGCAGTCATTTAGACATACACCAATGATAAAAAAAGTCATTAGTGTCTACAAAGAATGGTTCCAGGTATGATTGTTTTGTCTGTCCTTTTTCAATGTTTGCATTTATTTACTCTTTGTTCATCTACATTTCTACTGTTTCTTATTAATGGTAACTTGTGTTTTTCATTTACTTGCTTTGTCATTGATCACCTCATTTGTTTGCAATATGTCAATAATTTTTGTAATAATATCTTTTTGTGGTGTGATAATTTTTTTTCTGCCATACAAATGATCTGGAGGTACGTTTCTGCTTAAACTGTAGGTTCTCGCCTGAACTTTTGCGAGATCATGCATACGGCTTGAAGATCTGAAGACGAAAGACAAACATACAATGTTTATTATTCCTAAACATGGTTAAATGTAAGTTTCATATCCATTACAAGATGATGCAGAATCAACCCTAACATCTTTTAGCTGGTTGGTTTTACTGGGAAGTTTTACATATACATTCATTAATTTACCATAGCTGCCTGAAGAGTCGGTACTTAATACCACAGTTGAAATTTATACAAAGTAGTCACTGAAAGATGGAGAAGCCAATTTTTGAGCTATTTCAAAGCATTCACGAAGGAATAAATTTAACTGACCTTTTCATTTCAGTTTTTCCTGGTTGTGTATTTAAAAAAAAAAGACCTTTTCACCTGGTTAAATTTTAAACTATTTAGTTCTTAATTGGTAACATTTTGTAAACCCATAAAATCATGTTGATTGCTGTGATAACTACCTGTTATCTGAGATAAAATTTAGTTGATTTGGTTATATTGGAATAGTTTACTTTGATTAATTCCTGGTTTCATTTTAAACATAAAGATTAGTTTAATTTTTTGCAGATTAGTTTAATTTTTTGCCTTATTTGATTTCATCCCTCTTGTTAAACACTAATACACATTCAATTTATAGAAATGTCTTTATGATTATCTTTATAATTGCTATCCAGATCATTTTATGGCTTGCAAAATGATTGTGCATGTTGCTTCCAGTTCTTTGTTAACATTAATCAATGAATTAAATTGATTATTTTGGAAATAGGTCAGAGCATTATTACCATTGTGGGATTAGATGAGAGGGGTATCTCCATTAATGAACGTAGAGCGATATTTCCAGTGGGAATAGATAGTGATGTTATCATTTTGAAAGGAGATCTGAGTGATTGTATTCATTTCCGTTTCCATTCAGCTAGCTGTGAAATAGGTCTGTTATTTTGCTGTGAGCTGAAGAAGGAAAATGATGAGTAAGAAAGCAGATGGGTTCATCTCATACTGACCTAGAGTATATGTTACCCTTAGCAACGCACACCCTGTAAAGAAAACACATGTATCACATGTAGATTGCTTGTAGTCACCAGGTCAAGTATTCATCGCTTTATCAGAGCACTGTAGATTTGATAAAGGAGCTCAGTGTCTCTCAGCTTTCAGCTGCAGTGTTCAAGGTGTGACACGTCAGTGTTGCCTTCATTTATTGCTTATTTTAATTAAAATTGTTTCAGGATATCACTGTTATAATTTTTATTTTGCCACTGCAGAAGGGAAATGACACTTTGCACACTAAGTACCAAATAGCCCATTATATGTTGCACACTGGCTACAGGCAGATACTGAAACATGGCACAAAGTGGACATATAAGAAAGTGCTAAACTGTTTGAAATAGTTACTGAAAACATCTTGAAGCTGGTTTTTAGGGTAAATGGACAACAGGAGAAAGAGTCTAGGAATCATATCCCAGAGGATCTGCCTCCAGGAAGTGTACAGAAAATAAACATAAACATTCATGGAAGGTGAACTTCCGAACATCAGAAGCCCGCTGTGGTGTTTGCTGTCTGAAGTGTTTATACAATGCTGATTAGCTTTTATTTACCGTTGGTTAACATGTTCTGCTAATGAGGAAAGCACACAGCAAAATTGGAAGTGCTTGGTGTTTGTCTTGGCATGTTATGAAGAAAAATAAATGTGATAATTTAGCAACTGGTAAATTTGAGGGGAAAGAGAAAGATGGAGACAGAGATAAGTATTTGAATAGCTTGGTCAGGTATCATAACTGGCGCAAAAAGGCCTGACCAGATTATTTGAGAATTGTGAATCATAGAGCCCACATTTACTGATATGTAGAAACATTGTTAATCAAGTTGGAGAATTGTCTGATCTGAATATCATCTTCTTCCTGTTCGCATTCACCAGCTGTAGACTCTGGCGGAAAGTTCTGGTTGTTTGTCCGTTTCTGGACTTCAGCCCTTTTCCAAAATCTGAGTATTGGGTGCACATTTGTTTTACAGATCTGACATATGCATGCAGACTGTTGATTCATTGCCTCTCATTCAGATGCACTCCAGCATCAGAGGAAGCTCCCAGTTAGTCGACTCTCACGACATGCTTTTGGGTAGGCAGCGGGTCAATTCTTGTTTTTCTTATAATAGGGTCCCGGAACCCACACGGGGAGATCTGAATACAAATGGAAGAATAATAAATAAGATCTGAGATATGCTGAATCAGTGCTACTAGCTTGAGGTGAGCAGGAGTTACATAATCTTGTGGATCAACAAGCAGAGTGCAGTGTATGGTAAAGACATTCAACAAACGGAGTGCAGTGTATGGTAAAGACATTCAACAAAAACTCTGATAATTAACAATGTAAAGAAGCAACCACTAGTGAACATCACAGCAAATAGGGAGATTTTAGAACAGGTAAAAAAATTTTTCAATCTCGGAGACGCAATAACAGATGGCAGCAGAAGTGAAACAAAAATTTAAAGTACAAACAAAAGAAGTGGCTAAAACTGTCTTCATTAAGGTGTACAAAATTAAGATGCTGTGTATACTCGACCTTGCTGTATGGTGCAGAAACCTAGACAGTCAACAGGTAACTAACAAACAAATTAAGTCTTTGGAAATGTGAATTTACAGAAGAATAGGTCATATTTATTGGAAACAGAAGCACTCAAATACAAATGTTCTGGAAAGATTGAAAAAAAAAAAAATGTACTTAAAAAAAAAAAAAGAGTCATTAAATGGTGTAACTTGCTTTTAAAAACCATATTGGAGGGAAAGGTCGAGGGCAAGAGAAAAAGAGGAAGACAACAATACAAGTAGGAGGACAACATCAAGAGATGGATGAACACCGGTGTGATAGAATGTACAACCAAGACAAGAGACAGAGTGTGTTGGAAAACCATTTTAGCCAACCTTCATTGTGGAGACAGAATCTGATTGATTGACTGATGTATAAAATTGTAATACTACTGTTTGTACCAAAAAACTTGACTGATAAGAAACCCAGAAAAATCTGGCCACTCCTGGAGTTTGAATCCTGTACTCTGTGTGATTACCCATTGTACTACAATGGCTGTTACTAGTCTTATTGGAAGGGTAGCCAATGACAATATTTCACTTTTCCTGGCGTAGAATAAGTGCACTATTACAGTCATTTGTGTTTTTTTTAATGATTGTTTTGCATTCTGTCTGCCTGTCTCCTTGTTGTGTTACTAACCTAACATAGCCACAGCTAACTTGTATCATGACATCCTCCCTGCCTGTCTGTGTATGTTAGAACCTACTAATTATTAATCAAGCAGCATGTGGACGAGCGTCCTGTGTTTATGATGGAGCCGCTGGTCAGTGAGCAGCCGGACCCAGGAGCTGGCAATGGATGCAGCACTGATGGGGGAGATGTCAGCAGTCTTCGAGGCCAGAAGCCAGACTATCTACATGGGTCTCTGTCTGATATATTGGAAGAGGATAGGAGCTCGTTTGATGTATGTTCTCTGGTTTTGTTATTGTTGATTGTTGTTGGTTCAACATGATCCTGTGTGGGTTTGCTAGAATATTGTGTTTGCGTTGTCATAGATCACAGGGAGTACACACTAATGTTGTTTTTGTTTATCCTATGTTACTGAGGTTACTCAGTCTTATCCTGTGTTACTTTGAATACTCAGTCTTATCCTGTGTTACTGTGGTTACTCAGTCTTATCCTATGTTACTGTGGTTACTCAGTCTTATCCTGTGTTAATGCGGTTACTCAGTCTTATTCTGTGTTAATGCGGTTACTCAGTCTTATCCTGTGTTAATGCGGTTACTCAGTCTTATCCTGTGTTAATGCGGTTACTCAGTCTTATTCTGTGTTACTGTGGTTACTTAGCCTTATTCTGTGTTAATGTGGTTACTCAGTCTTATCCTGTGTTAATGTGGTTACTCAGTCTTATCCTGTGTTAATGTGGTAACTCAGTCTTATTCTGTGTTACTGTGGTTACTTAGTCTTATCCTGTGTTACTGTGGTCACTTAGTCTTATCCTATGTTACTGTGGTTACTCAGTCTTATCCTGTGTTACTCTGGTTACTTAGTCTTATCCTATGTTACTGTAGTTACTTAGTCTTATCCTGTGTTACTCTGGTTATTGAATCTTATCCTGTGTTACTGTGGTTTGTCATAGTATGATTCTAGTTTATTTATTGAAGATTTACTTGATTGTTGAGTTTTTCTGGTTTACTAGGAATTGTATCCCAGATTGTTGAGGTTTCACCAGAATGTTGTCTCAGATTATTGAGGTTTCACCAGAATGTTGTCTCAGATTATTGAGGTTTCACCAGAATGTTGTCTCAGATTTTTGAGGTTTAACCAGAATGTTGTCTCAGATTATTGAGGTTTCACCAGAATGTTGTCTCAGATTATTGAGGTTTCACCAGAATGTTGTCTCAGATTGTTGAGGTTTCACCAGAATGTTGTCTCAGATTGTTGAGGTTTCACCAGAATGTTGTCTCAGATTTTTGAGGTTTAACCAGAATGTTGTCCCAGATTTTTGAGGTTTCACCAGAATGTTGTCCCAGATTTTTTAGGTTTCACCAGAATGTTGTCCCAGATTGTTGAGGTTTCACCAGAATGTTGTCCCAGATTATTGAGGTTTCACCAGAATTTTGTCTCAGATTATTGAGGTTTAACCAGAATGTTGTCCCAGATTTTTGAGGTTTCACCAGAATGTTGTCCCAGATTTTTGAGGTTTCACCAGAATGTTGTCCCAGATTATTGAGGTTTCACCAGAATGTTGTCTCAGATTATTGAGGTTTCACCAGAATTTTGTCTTAGATTATTGAGGTTTCACCAGAATGTTGTCTCAAATTATTGAGGTTTCACCAGAATGTTGTCTCAGATTATTGAGGTTTCACCACAATGTTGTCTCAGATTATTGAGGTTTCACCAGAATGTTGTCTCAGATTGTTGAGGTTTCACCAGAATGTTGTCTCAGATTATTGAGGTTTCACCAGAATGTTGTCTCAGATTATTGAGGTTTCACCAGAATGTTGTCTCAGTTTGTTGAGGTTACTCAGTCTTATCCTGTGTTACTTTGAATACTCAGTCTTATCCTGTGTTACTGTGGTTACTCAGTCTTATCCTATGTTACCGTGGTTACTCAGTCTTATCCTGTGTTAATGCGGTTACTCAGTCTTATTCTGTGTTAATGCGGTTACTCAGTCTTATCCTGTGTTAATGCGGTTACTCAGTCTTATCCTGTGTTAATGCGGTTACTCAGTCTTATTCTGTGTTACTGTGGTTACTTAGCCTTATTCTGTGTTAATGTGGTTACTTAGCCTTATCCTGTGTTAATGTGGTTACTCAGTCTTATCCTGTGTTAATGTGGTAACTCAGTCTTATTCTGTGTTACTGTGGTTACTTAGTCTTATCCTGTGTTACTGTGGTCACTTAGTCTTATCCTATGTTACTGTGGTTACTCAGTCTTATCCTGTGTTACTCTGGTTACTTAGTCTTATCCTATGTTACTGTAGTTACTTAGTCTTATCCTGTGTTACTCTGGTTATTGAATCTTATCCTGTGTTACTGTGGTTTGTCATAGTATGATTCTAGTTTATTTATTGAAGATTTACTTGATTGTTGAGTTTTTCTGGTTTACTAGGAATTGTATCCCAGATTGTTGAGGTTTCACCAGAATGTTGTCTCAGATTATTGAGGTTTCACCAGAATGTTGTCTCAGATTATTGAGTTTCACCAGAATGTTGTCTCAGATTTTTGAGGTTTAACCAGAATGTTGTCTCAGATTATTGAGGTTTCAACCAGAATGTTGTCTCAGATTATTGAGGTTTCACCAGAATGTTGTCTCAGATTATTGAGGTTTCACCAGAATGTTGTCTCAGATTGTTGAGGTTTCACCAGAATGTTGTCTCAGATTGTTGAGGTTTCACCAGAATGTTGTCTCAGATTTTTGAGGTTTCACCAGAATGTTGTCCCAGATTTTTGAGGTTTCACCAGAATGTTGTCCCAGAGATTTTTAGGTTTCACCAGAATGTTGTCCCAGATTATTGAGGTTCACCAGAATGTTGTCCCAGATATTGAGGTTTCACCAGAATATTGTCTCAGGTTATTGAGGTTTAACCAGAATGTTGTCCCAGATTTTTGAGGTTTCACCAGAATGTTGTCCCAGATTTTTTAGGTTTCACCAGAATGTTGTCCCAGATTATTGAGGTTTCACCAGAATGTTGTCTCAGATTATTGAGGTTTCACCAGAATTTTGTCTTAGATTATTGAGGTTTCACCAGAATGTTGTCTCAAATTATTGAGGTTTCACCAGAATGTTGTCTCAGATTATTGAGGTTTCACCAGAATGTTGTCTCAGATTATTGAGGTTTCACCAGAATGTTGTCTCAGATTGTTGAGGTTTCACCAGAATGTTGTCTCAGATTATTGAGGTTTCACCAGAATGTTGTCTCAGATTATTGAGGTTTCACCAGAATGTTGTCTCAGATTATTGAGGTTTCACCAGAATCAGATTATTGTTTCTCATGTTGTCTCAGTTTTGAGGTTTCACCAGAATGTTGTCTCAGATTGTTGAGGTTTCACCAGAATGTTGTCTCAGTTTGTTGAGGTTTCACCAGAATGTTGTCTCAGATTATTGAGGTTTCACCAGAATGTTGTTCCAGATTAGTGAGGTTTCACCAGAATGTTGTTCCAGATTATTGAGCTTTTGCTACTGTGGGATTCTAGGTCTGTGATGTTTTGTTAGAGAGAATGTTGTCTTTATATCATCTGATGTTGTAGTTTTCTAGAATATGATCCTAGTTTATATTTATAGAAGGATTGTTGAAATGTTGTTACTGTATGATTCTAGGTTTGGGATGTGTTGCAAGATGATTTTCTTTGTGCTGATATAGTTTCTCAGAGTCTGATCCCGTGTTATTGTGATTTCTAAAAGTATGATCTGACGTTATTGTGCTTTTGCACAGTATGACCCTATGTTTTATGTGTTTGTAGGTGTCTTCTAGAATGTTGTTAATCTTTTTCTTCTTTCGTTCACTTGAAATAGATGATCTCTACAGTGTTGTCTCTAGTATGAACTTCACTGCCTGTTGTAATTCATTTAGCGACGCGTAAAATTTGGCTTGCACTAATGTTTTTCTTGGCCGAAAGTTTTGCCTTGATATGTTACATTTTGGACAGTCTTAGAGGACGTGATCTGTTGATCATGTGCTAATCCACATTTACACATGGCTGATTCGCCAGTCCAAAATGTTGTGTACATGTGGCTGTGAAGTCGATTGTGTCCTGTTCTAAAGCGTAAAATAATGACTTCCTTTGGTCTTTTCATTATATGTTGATCATCTTTTGCCGGTTTTGATGACTTTCTGATTGATTTGATTATTCTATTTTTCTGTTGATAAGAGACTGTTACGTCAGGTTGTTCTTCATTTGCACCTTCCTTAGCTAGTTTATCAGCTCTTTCCTTTCTAGGAACTCCACAGTGGGATGGTATCCATTGCATAGTTACCTTACACCAGTTGCCTTGTTTGGATAGTAATGTTCGTATACCAGGGAATTTTTCCAGACTGGAGTGCCTGAAGTACCGCTCTTGCATCTGTTAGGAATACCACGGGTTGTGAAAAATGACATATATTTAACAGTTTCTCTGCTGCTATTTTGATAGCTTGAACTTTGGCATCCTAGTTGTAGCAGTGCTTTGTTAATATCCTAGATCTTCAAAACTATGGAGGAATGGGGCTACTCGGGGTTTCTCTGATCATCTGCTTTTTCATTTTCAATGACCACAGTGGGCTTGTATCCATTGTCACACTGGGTCTATCAATGACCACAGTGGGCTTGTATCCATTGTCACACTGGGTCTATCAATGACCACAGTGGGCTTGTATCCATTGTCACACTGGGTCTATCAATGACCACAGTGGGCTTGTATCCATTGTCACACTGGGTCTATCAATGACCACAGTGGGCTTGTATCCATTGTCACACTGGGTCTATCAATGACCACAGTTGGCTTGTATCCATTGTCACACTGGGTCTATCAATGACCACAGTGGGCTTGTATCCATTGTCACACTGGGTCTAATTCTTCTGAATGGCATAGTAAGATTGTCTTTTACTTCCTTGTTGAGACTGTCCAGTTTAGGATAGGAAGTTGCTTGAAACACTTATAGACTGAAAATGTGTTTATAGATTATAGAATATAGTGTCATGTTTAGAGTGGAGATCATAAAACATGGCATAAAGTATGTGTTTAGAGTGGAAATCATAAAGCATGGTGTAAAGACTGTGTTTAGAGTAGAAATTATAAAATATTGTATAAAGTATGGTGTAAAGACTATGTTTAGAGTAGAAATTATAAAATATTGTCTAGAGTTGTTTAGAGTGGAGATTATAAAATATTGTGTAGCGTTTAGAGAGAAAATTATAGTAAGTTGAATGTTTGTAGTAGACATTATAAAATATTAAGTAAAGTCTATGCTTATAGAGTGG